CGCCCACCTGAGCCCGCCGCGCCCACCTGAGCCCGCCGCCCGTGCGCCGGCGCCATGGCGGAGCAGGAGAGCCTGGAGTTCGGCAAGGCGGACTTCGTGTTGATGGACACCGTCTCCATGCCCGAGTTCATGGCCAACCTCAAGCTCAGGTGAGGGCGGAGCGGCGGCCGGCAGGGGCGCGAGGCCGGGCGTGCCGCTCCCGGGGTGCGGCCAGATCGGGGTGTCAGGGGTCTGCAGGGCTCCGGGGTCGCCCTTTCCGGGGTGCAGCGTTGGGGCGAAGGGGCGTGCCGGGGTTGAGGGCTGCTTTTTCCTGAAGGTGCGATCTGGCCCCAGCCTTGGGGACTGGGGGTGCTCGCAGAGCTGGAGGTGCTCGGGGGGCTGCGCACCGGCCGACCCCGCGCCAGGTGAGAGATGTGGGCGGGGCCGGTGACTTCACGGAAACAGAAGTGCAGGAAAAAGAAAAACTTCAGGGAGAATCGTGGTGTCCCGATAGCCGCAAGGGAGACTGCAGAGCTGTTTCGGAGAGGGCCTGGCATCTGCTCCCTGTTTCTTATTTGCTTCTTTTCTTGCTTGCTTTCTTCTTTTTTTCCTGGCCTCGTTCCATCATGTCACTCGGGATGCTCTGGGGTGATCCCTGAGCTGCCTGTCTGTTCCGGGACACCGGCTATTTTTTTTGTTACTAGAAGCCTAATTAGACACGTTTCCAGACATCGAAGAGACTGCTGTGCTTGCCAGTGCCAAGATAAACTGTCTGAATTTGACAAGGCATTCATGGTTTCAGTTTTTTCAGGGAGTTATGGATGGAGTCCTTGTGTTACCGACATCCTTGAGAATGTAGTCACAACTCAACACCCTGAAACGGGCTTCCAAGAAGAATTTGTTTTATAATCTTCTACGTGTGATTATTTCGTTCTTGATAGAGTAATACTTACAGCTTCAAAGCGGTTTGACTTTTAAAAAATTACAATAAGTGGAGTTTCAAAATATCTATGTGGGGGGGAGGTTCCTGGAAGCTTTGCCTCATTTTTGTAAAATTTATAGCCTAACATTACCCCTTAAATTTATAAAGTGAAAATCATAATGTAGGTCTGGATGCTTCACTAACTCCACTTCTCAGTATTAGTTACTCCTGTCAACTCTAATTTAAGAATAAAAAAAAGAATTTGAAAAAGAACTAATTTAATCTTTGAAACTGCAGAGCACACAGAGCCTTCATCTGTTCTTGATTAGGCTTCGTTATGTACCTGAGCAAGACCACAGACCTGAGTTCTACAACTGGCTACTACAGATTGACCATGAGCTGGTTGGTTTACCTCGGTTTCCTCAGTTGTAAAATAATGAGGATCTCCAAAATTTCCTTCAGTGCTCATTCTATAATTGCAAGTTTTCCAAAGGCAGGCAGCTTCAAAGCTGCACAGTATCTTTCTGAATAGAGTATTGCGTGGTAGTATCCAAATTGCCCCTCAGGGGATTGCTTCTAGAACTTCCTATGGAATCTAAAATCAGAGGATGCTGCAATCCCTTATATAAAATGATGTGGTACAGTACTTCCTTTATTTCTGCAGGGAACATGCTCTAAGACACCCCCCCGCCACTGATGCCTAAAACTTTGAATAATACCAAACTCTATATATGCTATGTTTTTTTCTATCCTAAGTACTAATGATACAGTTTAATTTATAAAGTGGGCACAGTGAGAAATTAAAAACAAGAAGGTGGAACTATTATAACAATAGAGTATAATAAAAGTTATATGGAGGTGGTCTATCTCAGAATACTGTATGGTACTCACCCTTCTTGTTGATCACAGATAACTGAAACTGCAGGAAGTGAAATTTCAGATAAGGCTAGACTGCTGTATTTCCACATAACCTGTGTATATCCTTCTGTATTTTAGATCATCTCTAGATTACTTATTATAGCTAATGTATTGTAAATCCTGTGTAGATAGTTTATACTGTATTACTTAGGGCATAGCGATGAGAAAAGGTTTGTATGTCTTCAGCACTGGCACGTTTTTCCCTCCAAATCTAAAATATATAT